GGGGGGGGGGGGGAGGGAAGAGAGAAAATGAATAGTAATTGAGGGGAGAAACACTGTAAACCTAAGTGCAAAGTCTGCCTTTTAATTATCAGTCATCCTTTTCCTATCATAAAACATACAAATATGAAAGAGGACAAGTATTAACACAGTGCAAGTGCACTACACTTCATTACTCTTACAAAAGGTTGTTGTTCATCAAGCAACTACCAGTGAAGAATTAGCAGTAGAGAAGTTGTAGTGCCCAGAAGGTGTTTTCCAAGTGTTTGTGTTACTACACTGGCAATTAGTTCTTTTTAGGGAATATGCTGTGTGGATATATTCCACAATTTCTTAGCTGCTCATGTGAGTGGTAAGAGCTGAATTATTCCAAGGTGTATGTATTGCAACCTACACCTGATTTCCAAATCCGCAGACAGAAAACACAAGAGATTAAAATTCCTCCATATTAAACAAAGGCATTCATTTTATCCAGTAACATACTTCCTCCATCTGCCTGCCAAAATAAGTTTCTCAGAAAAGGTCAAATGGCAATTCAGCCAAGTTCATATATCCATCATGGCCTCGATCAAAAACAAGACTGTATTTAGCCAAGTGCAAGCTGCCAGTAAATCTCTCTTTTGTACTCATCAGCAACCAACATATGAAAAGGGGTAATAAAGTACCACTGGTAAATGACAGAGAAAAATAGCTGTATAGAATGAAACATACTGTAACACACCTTCTTCTGTCTTCCAGCTAATCTCAGTTTTCCTGAAAAAAGTTTCATGCTGTTCAGATTTCACCAGCAACTACGAAGCCCCACAGTTCCTCTAGCCTTAAGCCCCTTCCCTACAGGCCATTTCATCTCCCTCCTCATCCTACTCTCAAAAAGAGGGGATAATAGAGGATCTTAAAAGAAGGCCATAAAGTAAACTAGAGCCTGGAACAAGTAAGATAAATAGCAAATATTTTCTTCTTTCCCCTACATCTTAATTTCCATAGAAAATCTTTTATCTGGGCCAAAACAGAATGCCTGGACTTTAAACTAGAAGAATTTTAATTAAGCCATGTTTTGGGAAACACTCAAAACTATGGCAAGATTAGCTAAGGTTTTCAGAGATGAATGTGACATCTACAGTCCTTTATTAGTGTTTTTTTTTAAAAAGGGCATACAAGAGAAAAATCTTTCTTTAAGTGTGTTTTCTTAATCTGTGCTAGCACCATTCTGTAGCCTTAAAAGAATGATTCTCTGGAAAAAAAAAAAAATCCCAAAACAAAACAGAACAAACCAACCAACCTAAGGGGTACTTTCTATTTCATGCTAACAATATCCAGAGAGGTTAATTTCATTTACTTAGATTTGTTTTCACTTTCTGGTTCTTGGGCAGTAATGCAAATGCTCAAGTTTGGAATAACTGCAGCTTCCATGTTTCCCTTCTTTCTGCAAAACTGAGCCCATTGTCCCGTAAGAGATCTATAAATGCTCTCTTTTTTTCAAGGTCATTGGTAAGTGCTCTCAGAAATAAAATACTTCTGGCTAATAGAGTCAATAAAGAAAACCCACAACAAACTTGCATTTCTTAAAGATACTTCTGATCCAAAATTACACCCTAATTGTGAAGGGCTCAGCTACATGATTTAAAATTCCAGACAAACTATCTTTCCTGAAAAGTAACAATTCATGGAGGTCAAACTTCATTCCGATTCTCCTCTTGGTCTAACATTGCACTGCTACAAGACCATGCATTTCAGAGTATTTATTCCTAAGATGAGTAGGTGTAAGAAAAGCATCTGCTTTCCATATGGAATTTCTTCATTCTTAATCATCCAACCACCTAAAAGCTAGGATGAACAATGTTTTGTTTACTGTTATTGCTTTGCTTAAGAATGTCACACAGACTCCTCATCCTTCAGCAGTCAGATAAGAATGTCCTGTTGTCAAATCTGATACATTCACAGGTTACTATTAGAACATTTTGTATATTTTTCCTCTACTTAAAAATCCAGTTTTGGAACATCATGAAACTTGACAAAAGCAGGTATCTCCTACATTCTGTGTGTTTCCAAAGAAGACAACATACTCTTTTAAAGCTCAAAAATTATCTCCAGTTCTTCTAAAATGTTTCTAAAAAGGGCCTTGATGACTTTACTGAAAGGTCTGGAATCCAGCTGGCTGATTTGTCTAACTGACTAGCTTCAGTTGTTAATTTTGGGGAAATGAAGACAAAAAGCCAGTTCACATAGACAGAACTGTGATGCTGGTGCCTGTCCAACTACTTTTTGTGGCTTTTTTGTTGAAAGAGACCCCTGAAAACCCTTTTTACATTTGAATTTTAAAAATACATCTGTTAAAAAAGAAATTACAGAAATGTTTTACATTGGGGTGGAAAAGCGAAAGGGACACTTTAAAGTCTAACTTAGTTCTATGTCTGTGCTTTTTCAGCTGCAGAATAAATGGAAATAAGAGATTTCCTCAAGGAAACAAAAGCTATAAATCTAAGACAAATGAACAGAGTCCTCTTATTTTCCTGTTATGTCTCTGGAGTCTTCCCAAGAGTAGACAAATCAAATTGCTGTTGTAATGTGAAATCTGTTTCCGAAGCTTTCATATCTAATTTTTACATGTCTGCAGTAACAGTTCCATAAAGTGTTTAGATGCATTTTGTATATAAAATGTGACTAACTTACCACACACACACACCCATAAAGATCACTTACCATCTCTTGTGAAGTTTGTTCTGGTGATCAAGGTGAACTAGAAAAGAAAACAATAGGTTTTTAATTCATAAAAATGTATGTATGAAGATGGTCACAAACACTGAATATATTTTTGTTAAACTTGGAACACTATGGCCTACAGCTATTACATAGGTCTTCTCTGCTGTGGCTAGCTGAAGTTTCTTATTTATCATTTTTGATTAGCATCAGTAAAAATCCCATACCTTGGAATTTTCCACTAGAATAAGGTTAAAAGGGAACTTTCTACACAATGCAGTCTAAAATGGTAGGACTGAACAAACACTTTTTTCCCCTATTACCTTTCTTTTCTATTTTCTCCCACACTTCTAGAACCTTTGTTTTCCAAATTAATGCCAAACAAAAAACATAAACTTAAGTGAAACACACTGTTCTCACTTTAGTGGTGTCTGCACAGGGACATCTATAAAATAAGCAATTAGCATTAAATGATTAAACCCATCTTGACCCCTTTCAAATAGTAAGTTTTCTGTTTAGACCTATGGTGCACTTATAACCACATACAACCCCTTTTTTCACTCTATTTCTCTTTTTTTTAGACATCTGATCCTGCCTCCCGTAAAGAAAATGCAAGCCAAATCTGGTTGTAATCATGGTTTTTAAATGTGAGGAAGAGGATAAAGGAGAGGGAAGGAAAAAAAAAAAAAAAGAAAAGAAAAAGGAAAAGGCAGGGGGAGAAGAGAGGGATCTAAAACCACCAAGCAGGATTTATAATTACCATCATTTTCAGTGTGATTTACCAGCACGAATCACTGAGAAATATTCTGAATCCCCTCCCTATCTGACAATTATTTTATCATTACATTAAAATGTTAGCTGCTTCATCCACATATTTCTCCTGACACTCACCCTCAACTTGAACGTTAGGTGATTGCCAGTGAAAGGTAACAGAGACTCAGTAACACCGAGCTACCATTGCTACCCCTAAGACATGGTCAAATGTTATTCCCAGCAGCACTGGAACACAGCCAAGACAGCACTTACAACTGTTGTAATTTATACCAGCATAAAACTAGGATTTTTCAAAATGCATACGAATACAGTACATACACCAGCTGTGTTCTGCCTCATATTTAACAATACTGATTAAACAGCAACTTCTTGTCTCTTAAGACAAGCCATCCTGCGTGAAGGAAGAATGGGGATGGGCCATGTTCAAGGAAAATGCAAATCGTGCAGCTACCACAAAGGCAAATTATTGCCCTTCACAAAGCCCACACTAAGCTCAAACCCACAACCCCTTGGTCACACCAACCTATCTACAAGAAGCCCCACATACATGAGCAGTCCCGCTGCAATCAATGGGACGACTCATGCGAGCAATGGATTGCAGGATTAGGCATTAGGCAGCCAAAAAATGTGCTCTCCTGCCTGCTTGCAGGAAGAAAAAAACCTCATGCAGAGGTCACTGTAAAACACTGCAGTGACTTGTAACACTTGAAACCCACACATACATTAAAAACTCCTGGGCTATCCCTCTTTGTTCTTTTCAAACATCTCATTTCCCATGCTAGCCCTCTTCAAAATTTCCATCTCCATTCTCATGGCATACACACATATTTTTCATCCCTTTCCCATATACATCTGGATACTGTCAAGGTTACCATAATGTCTTTTTCTCATACTTAAAAACCTAAATCAACGGTAACCAATTCTTCCATTTTCCACTTCAGGAAAAGTATGTTTATTTTATTTTCATGTTCACTCTAACTTATACATGACAAAAGATTCTTTGAACTAGCTTCAGCATAAGCAGGAATCAGGTTCAGATTTTAATGTAAATACTCTTTTAAAAGCAGTAAGTGGAGAAGTCTGATACTTTATTATTAATACGCAACATGTACATATGCTCTCTGAAGGGGAAGGAGGGGAAAAACCCTGGCAAAATTACACAACTATATTAGTTTACCAAATATGAAAAACCTGTATTTCCAAGCACAGACACTTTAATTATTTTCATAAATTATTTATGAAACACTAGATTACAAATATAAAGCGAAGTATAATAATGTTGAAATCTGGGACACTAAATTAAGAATGAGTTTGGTTTGTTTTCAGCGGAATTACTCTTCCAAAACAAACTACATAAAATATGAAACATGACAAGTAGCAGAAAATAAATGTAATAACTGTACTTTTATAATTTATACTTTTAAAAACAAATATGGAAGCAACTTAACATATGAAACTCACCAGCAAATGTAAACTTTAAAATGAGAAAGAGATTTGTTTGTCTGTGCTGACCATTAATGATGGAAATTTTTTTTGACAAATGTTATGACTTCCTTTTCTCAGTTTTAAAATATTTCCCCACTGATAATTAAGTATAGATGTACTCCCTTTCATCAGAAACATGCCTGTCTCCTTAACAACCTGAAGCAGGTAAGCATTAGTGGAAATAAAGAACTCCGATCAAAGCAGTGACAGCATTTAATTCCACTGGAGTCAAAAGAAGTTGAGACAATGACTGTCGTATTGTGAGACACAACCATGAAATACTGGTTTTTATAACTCGGTAATGTAATTCATCCTTGGGGATCAAAGCCCCTCTAGTGGTGTGTTGGATAAAGTGCTGCCACATGGCTGCCATACCGGGCGACAGGTACAGCTCAGAAAGATGCGGGATCAGGGAGGGTTTGACTTTCTTCAGAACACCGATAAGCACAAGATTAATTAACCTGTAGCACGATGTTAAGGTAAAAATATAACAAAGGACAGCTGACCATATCCTTTGCCCACTGCTGCTTTTGTCCCTGCTCCTTTAGCCTGTGAGAAGTACCTTCTTAAGTCAAGCCAGAGTGTCCCTAACACTCCCCTATCCAGCTTCTGGCAATGGGCAGTAAGAGATGCTCAGGAAAATATAACACTAGAGTAAACATACAGGAATTACCTTCTCAGGTACATTTCTCCTGATTTCAGCAAGTGGCAGTTCAGATAGTTTTTTCCAGCTCCAAAGTGCTTTTAGCATTTAGAGACAGAACGTGTCATTTCTCTGAACCCACGAATACTACATGTTTCCACAACATCCCATGGAAGTAAGTTTCACAATTTATGGTGTTAAACGCCAATTTGTGCTGTGTAGTCTGAACTCACCCTACTACATACTCTCCAAGGATATTTGAAGAGTTCAGTAAGAAAAGCATGCCATGTAACATAAAAAGTGTGCGTCTTCCCACAAACATGCATTTCATTTTATACTTCTAATGGTTATTCTTGGTGCAGAATTACCACCAGAAAATAAAAGACTGAAAAGTGTTCTGACGCTCTGTGCTTCAGATTAATACTGTGCACTGCTGGTGTATGAGAATACTGAAGGGCCCTAGCTACAGTTACACAGAAATAAAAGCCTGTGATTGCTACGACAGTTGGAAGTACAAGTTATTTCCATTAAAAAGGAAAAAAGGTAAAAATTCCCAACTCTATACAGTGCATTCTTGTTTGTGAATGGCTTTAAATACAAGATGCTTAGAATACAGTTATGGCTGTTCATATCCCAACAGGAGAGTCAGTTGAGCTGTGAAGGCCTACCTATCACTGCCGGTGTCTTCACAGCAGTGTCCTTCCACCAACTGTAATTCCTGCGAATGGAAGGGAAACAAATTACACATAAGAGAAAATGATGTTCATTGCAGAGACAATCCACATTTACTGCCAACAAAGCATGCAGATCAAACTTCAGTGTATTATGGCTCTTTTGACCCGAGCAGAGCTTGAGGCAGTGTAGTCCTCTGCTGCTCAAAAAAAAACCCCAAGAGGATCTGTCTTCTCTGAGATCCAGCACACAAATCCAAAAGCTATCTGGACCAAAAATCAGAGGTCAAAAGTGAAGTGCTAAAAGCTGTACAATCATTAGTAGCCCCAGTTACTTTATGCTTCATATATGGCTTGTCAGTTTGGTCAGTGAATGAGGAAAAGGACAAAACTTTTACACTACTGCTTTTGCAGTGAAAATTCATTTCCTAGTCTCACAGATGCCGTGCCCAGACTCAGGTCAATGACTTTAAGGACCACAAAACCGATGAGCAGCTCTCGCCTCTGCCAACTAGGGCAAACAACTAAATCTGAGGGCTGGCAGGAAAACAAACCCTCACGCCCAGGCTCACCCCGGCCCCAACCCCCCGCCCACGGAGGACCCCTCTCGCCCGAGCTCCCGCACCGCCGCCTCAGGCCGGAGGTCGCAATTTTGCTGAGGAAAGGAAAGGAAAGAAAAGGAAAGGGAAAGCCCCGAGGCTGTACAGCCGGTCGGCGTGCCATGCGCCGCGCCTCTCCGACCCCGCGCTCCGAAGGCAGAACTCCCTCCCGAGCTGTCCGCTTGCCCGCTCACGCCACCGCTCGCCCCGGCTGCCCGGCCCGCGGCCCGCGCAGAGACAGGGACACCAGCACCCCGCACCTACCCGGGCAGCCGGTGGCTCCGGTGGGACAGGGGAGCCGAGCGCTGCCGCCTCCGGTGCCGCCTCCCTCC